TCTTAAGTGCTGCAACACTTCACACACTAATGGTCAGCAATGTGCATAGGTGCATGTGTGTAGTTACGGGTGTGTAGTTTTCAATTCACCTGCCACTCTGTGACCGTTAAACATCCCAAGTGACTCAGACGTACTGCAGGCAAACAGCTGATCAAATCTCTCACTCTCTCTTACACACGCACACACACAAACACACACACAAACACACATACATACATGCACGGACACTGTTGGACATTCCCTGCAACATAAAAAAAATATTCAAATGTAATTAAAAATTGCAGTAATAGCAGTAAAATGACAGTAGTCACTTCTCTATGGCCGGTAAATACTTTGTCAAGAGGTTCATATAGAGAAATAATATAGTATATAATATACTATATGAGTAGCAGTGCTTCATTTGTTAAAGAAAAAGTGTGATCTTAAATCTCTAGTATTGTTTGGCACCTATTGCCACATATTTTCCTGAAATCTTACCCTCACCCGCCCACCCCCGTGAATCCCTTCACTACCTTTAGTTTATTTTTAGATGCAAACTTGTATTTTTAGCTCAGACTTCCCCACTCGTTCTTACAACATACAACATTTTTATGGCAGCTCCAAAAACACAAGTCAGATAAGCATAATATGTATACATGCCGTGGTGAGGTGACGGCTCTCAAGTTTCACCTGCCTCCATCTGTTTCTGACTGCAAGGGTCCAATGTCTCTCTGGCCTTATCGCCTCGTCTGAATCCTCCAGGTGCAACCTGAGTTATAGGAATCCTAACTGTCACCTATTTCATTGAACGCTGAGGGTTTTTCCGAACACGTTTATCAAGTCCTTTTTTTATAAAGCTCTTGAGAAGTGTCATTATGTTTTGACAAATAATACCTACTGTTGCTGCTTCTTCTACTATTTCTATTCTACTGGCACCACTACCCCCAAAATTATTACAAGTGCTACTGTAGTTAGTATTACTACTACTGCTGTACCTCTACAACCCCTGGTACTACTACTACCACTTGGGATGGACTTTGGGCAGCTCAGCCAGATTCCTATCTTTGTCTATTTGTAACATCTGCCTACCTCTATTTTTTTTGTTATGGATAGAGATGGGATTCCCTTCCAGATTTTTGCCCTGATCTTAATAATATAGTTCATCACCTTGGGAAATATGCTGATTTCCCGCTGAGAGTGAGATGAGAAGATGCGCACGCTCATATCTGAAGGGTTAATTTGAAGCTATCTCGAGGAGCCGGCTGCAAAACTGGAGTCTCCTGGCCAAAAAATATTCCAGCACATCATCTCCTGTAAAACTATGAAATATCATTCTTACACTTCAGCTATTGATTATTGAACAAAGAAGTTATAATATATTAGTTACAAGGCTTTGTAGGTGAGGTGCTGGCAGTTAGATTTTTTTCTACCTTTCTCAGCAAGAAAGCAAATAATCGTATTTCACAAAGTGTCAAACGGCTCCTTAAACAACACAAACCCTTTCCTAGTCTCACCTAACTGTAGTCTGCAACATAATCTTAAACATGTGTTCTAGTTTTAAAATCAAACTGAATTTACTTCATCTATGTGTAGATTCTTCTCTAATTTTTTGTAATAGTTCAAATAGTTTGAAGTTAGCACAAGGCAGCCTTAACTTAATTTAAGACTATAACCTAGACTCAGGCTTAATTAAGAAAATCAATGAAAAGAATAAATTGAACCTCTTAATATCTATTTCTTTGATGTCAATTTTTTTATGTAATATAAGTGACACACAGAGACTTTCTCTTTGATCTTTACATACATGTATCAATAAAGAAGAATTAGAGTAGTATTGGTAGTTTGTAAGTTAGTAGTAATAAGAAGCATTAGAAACAGTTCATGGTCTTCTCACATGTGCACTGCAATCATCAGTCTCACACATAAAGGACCACTCAGGCTTTATACAGACGTGTTATTGGAATTAGAATTGACATTTCTACTGGTACCATGTACGTATGGTAGTGGATTGGAATTAGGACTTGTATTGGTACTGATATTATTTAGCTTTAATGTGGTCAAGACAAATTATGTTTTGACGAATAAAAAATGCATAAAATTTTCAAAATAATGGATCCTTTGACAAGTTATGTAAAATATGCTGCTTGTCTGAGCTTCACAGGCAAATTATTGAATGACAAAAACAAAGGCTTACAGATTCATATACAGTGTGCATACTGTTTGTGTACATGTGCATGTCAAGGAGGTTACACTTACAAAGCCGATAATAAGCCAATAAAAGAGAATTATGGTAGATGTTGATGGAGGGGGTGGAGGATGGTAAGATATACCCTCTAGGCAAATTTTAGGCACCTGATGTGTCACCACAAAATAAGGATTAAGGTGTTCTCCAGTTTTATTTCTGATGTATTGATTTGCTTTCATCTGTTTTACATATACAGTTAGGATCCTGAGGGTTAAAAAGAATGTATGACATCATGCGCGTCAAGTACGGGAATCGCTTGTTATGTTTCACGGAAGCTATTTCTTCACCCTGCTCAACAGGTTTGTCTGAGTGCTGGTGACCCCACTGTAAGGACCGCAGCCGACTGTAAAGTCACATAAACAAACAACCGGCGTGAGGCAATAAGTTCATGATCAGATGTATCAATCAAACCAGAACCAAAATACTTAAATATTAAAACATGCACATACATACGTCTGCACGACTGTAGATGTGTTCGTGTCTGTCCGTGTGTGTGTGTAAACGTAAATGCAGATGCACTTTGATATGCTGACCTTCCATGACCTTCCAATATTTCTTTGTGTACTCTGACAGGTTTACAGTGTAAGGGCCTGTAGTAATATTTCATCGTGGTGAATTGCTACACTAAACCTTGACAATTTGCAAAGTTAGTAATGTCATTTTTGTAAGCAGAGTTTGAGTTTTTATCATGTTGAGATGATCGCCCAGTAATAAAACACAGGTTGTAAATACCCACTGCCTCTCCCATTATGTGCACTTCACATATCATCCATTTCCAAGGAAGTCACAGGCTACTGGCACTCCATTTGGATTTATTAGAATACTGCTGATCAGGCCATAAATACCTGTCTCAAAGGTATTTTTCGAATAATATTCATATCTGCTTGGGGTTAAATTATATCAGTCAACATAAATGTTTCATCCCTCCACAGGGGGTCACCAGTCAATGACCCGTTCCCATTCACACCTACAGTATGAACAATTAGAGTTTGTGGTTGGCCTGATGTAAATGTCTTTGTGATTCCAGCTCATTCATAACTTCTTCCTGACTGAATGGTCACCCTTCCTTTGAGCACTGTTGTAGAAGTTTCTGAATTGGTTTAGTTCATTTAACATGAGGGCCAGGCTCTGTGAGTCAGTCAGGTTGACACTGTTGTATAACACTACAGAATCTCTGCTACTTCACTATTAGAGCCTGTGTGTTTCTGACCTAGAGCGGTTTTGGGGAAGTCGCTCCGCTACAAGACACATGTTGCACATCAACAAAAAGGAACATGTTCACCCACGAGAAACAATGCAGCATATATTGAAAGTGAGCTATGAATGACATCATATATTCCTTAGCTGCGGTGTGATGCAATACCTGTGATTGTTTGCTTAACCGCAATTGCTTATGGGGAATAATGACATTTTGACATAGCAGCCTTCCCTTTAATTAGGAAGTTGATTAAAACACACTGTATATCAGAGCTACAGGTATGTTCACAGAATTGATCCTGGGAAGGTTTTCAGGGGGAGGGAGACTAAAAGAATATGATTTTTATTCACTGATGTATATGAGTATAAGCCCTGGCATGCCAAGCATAGCTGATGATAAATAAGCCTGCAACAACGGTGTAAGCGAAGCTGGAGGGGGGACACAGGGGGCCTAGTGATATCATTTTAATTTAACACCCCTATGTAGCATTAAAGGCACTATATATATATATTTAATAAATGGTTTATAACATGTTTTTAGCAGATGTAAGTGTCTCCTAATGTAGTTTTCAACATTTTCAACACATTCAGTTGTAATTATTTAAAATATATATTAATAAGTCATATATGTTGAAAATGTACACTATATAGTAATAAACACCTAAAATGACCTTTTATCTCCTTACATTATAATGTGTTATTAAATGTTTATAATGCCTATCAATGATAACTAGAGGGGCTAAAGTGAGTTAGATTATTGCTGCCCGAAAGACAAACACGGTCCTCATTTTGTCTTGTGGAACATTTCATTCCCGAACATAAACATAAACACGTTTCTCACTCAGTCACATTTTTCCTGGTGTGACAGACCAGTATATCATTGTTGTGAAATTTATGAAAATCTTGAGAGTATTTGTCAGCTGGGTACTGTGACAAACATTTCCCCACACATGGGAAACTTGATGTTAAATATGTGAGCATGTTATAATTTTTTTGTACACATTTTAGATTTTACCACATATTTATTCAAACGACATACTTAGAAATAACCATTACTCCCACATCCTCTACTCGCCTCTTCATCCCATCTTTCCCCACTCCCTGTATTCGATTATCACTATCTGTCTTACTGCAAAAGGTGCTTCGTATTTGATTCCAACAGCATTGTAAAGCCACAAATATAAAGCCACATGATTATCTTCCATAGCGCTGAGCCTCTGCTGTGTCATTTGAAATGATAAGAAACCACAGATACACCACAGGTTTTGATTCCATGAAATAAAACTTCATGAGGTAAAAGCATTCACTGAAAGTCACACTGAAAATCTGTCAAGAAAACAAGTTCACCTCCTTTTTACCTAAAACCCTGCTGATGAACGTGTATTTGCTTCTTTCATAATAATAGCAATATTAGCTTACAGTAGCTCTTTTTTTGAATAATAAAAATACACTATATATTCAGAAACAATAGCCAGAAATACCCTTTACTTTGTAAACCACTCCCACACTTGTACAAAGGGGCTTGGCCAAAAAACGACTATATAAGAGGGGTGAGGTCCAGGTCATCATACAGGTGAGCATTCACAGTCTCATGTCTCCACCCTCTACTGCCTGAGGATACTACTTCACTGTACCAGACACAGGAGTACACCTCGGACCTAACAAGGTACAGCTGTCCTCTTCATTGTGTTCATTCACTCAGGTTCTGACTGTGCGTGTGCTGCTGTCATATGACCATCTGTCAGCGTCTGATGAGTTAGAGAAGTATGTGTGATAACTTCTTTCACTTCTCTGTTCATGTTGTGAATTATGAGCTTTGATTCTGGTGTCTAATGAGGGTGTTTTCTCTTTACAGATTGACGTTTAAGTATGTTGGCGGAAATGGAGACGGTGAGTCTGACATTATTTTTATTTTAAGGGAGGCTCGTCAAGTCTGTCCATGATTTTCAAAGAAAACTGTCTCACTAATAGTCTGCTCTAAAAAAAACAGTGAAGGTGGGGGTAAAAGGTTATTTGTAAGAATATCAGCTAAACCACACAACATTGTCGCCTGAATGTTACATAAACACTTGCATAAATTTGCCAGTCAAACTTGGCTTGGCTCATTTCCAAGGCACAAACACTACAATGAAAAGCTGTGATCAGGTTAAACATCATAGTCAGAGTTCACTGCAGCATGTAAAAGTTATTAGTGTGTGTTTTAACAAAAGTATGCTATATATAGCATATATATATATACGTATATATATATATATTACATCTGTGCTTTTTTAACATCATGTAGAGAGTGGAAGATTGATAGACAAGTTGAAGCTCATTTAAAATTTTCACATCTCCCAGCAGCATTATTCACTGTACATGTGTGATGCGCCACAGCACCAACAGTGCACCACCACAAAACAACAATGGGTTATCCGGAAAGAAAACAGAGGGTGCGTGGTCTGATAATAACAACACCTCAGGCCATGTCTGACACAAGATAAATGCCACCCATCATACAAAATGTTCCAGGCCCGACAGCATCGCAAACAACACACATGCCAAGGTCAAAGCCCGGGTGTGTATGATTTCTGACAGCTGTTGTCCTGCTTTGTTTCTGTCAGATGGCCTATGTGACTGAGATAAGGCTGAGTGGAGTTCGGGGGGCCTGGAACGGAGTGGCTCCCTCCTCCTGCCCCGAGGTGGACCTGGAGGTCATCGAGGAGTACCTGCAGGAGCATTCACTGGAGGTCCAGCCCGCACACATACCCGCATCACCTCTGAGCACCATGGGGCAACAAACGCACACACACTCCCACCAGGGCACCAGGATCATAGGTTAGTGTGATGATGACCGACAGTGTAGGCGCTTATATATATTTCTACATCTTTTACCTGACTGTATGTTTGGCCCGTTTCTCCGTAGAGAACAGCTGGTCAGGCCAGCATGCATATGAGTGGCACTGTGGCTCTCACACTCCAAACAAGGACTATGAAGAGCAAGCCCCACCTCTAGCCTGGCCTAGTTCCCATGGCAACCAATGGGTGAGTTCAAGAACCTCAATCTCTTCGTAAAATAAAGCTTAATTACTTCTTTCATAGCTGAGTGCTACAACACGTCACTGTGTGCGACACATTTCAGCATTTTAAGATATTTGACTGGCTTTATCCATGATTTATGAGGATGGTTACAACTGTGAATTATTAACATTTTATACGTTTTATATGTGTTTGCTTCAGGACCACGTTGCATTTTCCTATGAGACACCTGCATACATTGACTCAGACTCGCAGTCCAGTAGCTCCCAGTACCAGGAATACCAAGATTCACCATCACCATCATCCGACAGGGGAGGCAGGGAGGACAGAGACATCCTGCCTCTTGCCCCACTGTCAGGTATTAAGACATACACGTATAACACACAACTCCCAACAATCCTGAACTTGAACATTGACATTGACACAGCTGGAGGGAAACAAATGCATGTTCACACACGTAAGCACATGAATCATTGTCACCTCGTATTTTTATTTATATCCCCTTCCTCCTCGGCAGGAAAGAGGAAGGAGCGGTTGTTCCAGTTCCTGTTTGAGATGCTTCAGACGCCATCAATGCGAAGTTGCATCTGGTGGGTCCAGTCCTCTGCTGGCACCTTTCAGTTCTCCTCTCAAAACAAGGAGCGCCTGGCGCAGCTGTGGGGCCGACGAAAGGGGAATCGCAAGCCCATGACCTACCAGAAGATGGCGCGGGCACTGAGGAACTACTCCCGCACCGGCGAGATTCAGAAGGTGAAAAGGAAGCTCACATATCGGTTTGACGAGAAGACGCTGAGAGGCCTACAAGGAGACTCTAATACAGTGTAGGAAGCATGATGGCTTGTGTACATAAGCACAGAAATCGAATAAGCAATGGATATTCAGAGAAAATTGCCATGGATGTCCCTTTAATGTCCTTTCTACTGATTCTAATTCTGACATGTGGAAACAAATGAATACTGAGTATTTGAAAAGCCAGAAGATGAAACACTGAGCTTTCTGTAGATACAGAGCCATACTGGAGTTTGCATGTATGAGGGGTGAACCGGAAATGATACTGACACGAGGATGCAAACTCCAGGCATAGGTGATGTGTGAATAGTCAGATGGCTTTAAAAAGTATGTAAATCTAAAAGGTTGTGACATAATCTACTTTATAAGTAGAACTTAAATCATTTTTAAAATACAGTTGTGGTTTTCTTTTTTTTTCTGTTTAGAGGATATCTAGCAGATTTAAGATCATCTTACAGATTTACAGATGATGTAAACATGATGTTTGTGGTGTTAAAATATCTTCTTTTTTTTTTTTAGATTAAATAAATCAGAAAATATTTTCTGAATATTTGATACATTTTGTCTGTCTGTCTTATATATTTATCTATCTGTTTATCTAGCCATAAGAACAAAGGCATACTCTGTAGGGCATATCAGCAAAGCAAATACAGATGTGCTTATAAACTGAAGCAAGCACACACACACACACACACACACACACACACACACACACACACACACACACACACACACTCACAAACACACACACGCACACACACACACACACACACACGCACACACTCACAAACACACGCACACAAACACACACACACACACACAAAAGACAAAAGTGTATGCAAAGTAAGCATGCGCTGAAAAACTGCCACTTTTCACAGCCCTGTTAATCAGTAACATCTAAAAAGTCCCCTCACACACACAGAGTAACAGAACACACACACTGAACACACATGAGGTGAAGAGTGTTACTTGTTTGAAAATGAAATGAAGTTAATTTTCATAGTCAAATGATGAGGTTGTACACATACTGTATATGCTGAAAACCAAATTACACAGGGCCAAATTACATAATATTCAACACACATGGACTGTCATTCCTGACTTTGCAGGATGTACTTCAGTGCAGAAGTTTTATTCAGGTGATTGTCACAAACTTCTTCTGATTTGATGTATTTGCAATGAGTGCTGGAAAGTGACTATGTACTCAAGTACTATGATTTTGAGGTACTTGTACTTTTCTTGACTTATCTCTGTTTTATGCATTCCAGAGGGAAACCTACTTTTTTCCTTAATTACAATTTCCAACAGCTGTTGTGACTAGTAACCTTGCAGATTAAGATTTCTCATATGAAACGTGATCATCTTACTGAATGTGATGCTGTTGTAGCTCAAACTCTCCAGCAGTAAATAAAGTAGTTCAGCTAGCTAAGACTGTCACAACATGCTGCTTACACTTTAATTCAGCTATAACTATAATTCAACTAGAGGGGTACTCTGAGAGCGTAGACCTCCGCCAAGGCCAATGTCAAACAACATACATCAGACTTCAGAGAAAAAGAAAATCATAATAGATGATGCAGCTCTTCCTTGGCTCATGCCCTCTCCACCACGTTCAGTGCAAATCTGGTTTAGTGTTTTTTTGCGTAATCCTGCTGACAAATAAACTGACACGGGTGAAAACATAACCGGAGGCAGAGATAATTAACACTTTCGATGGGGCCATTTTGCATAATGAGTACTTTTACTTTTCATTTAATACATAACATTTTGCTAATAGTAAATGTGTACATATGCTCATCATTTGGTACTTTTACTTTGTGGTTTCGCTACTTTAGCTTTGCTATTTTCACCTTTACTTTCGTGAGTGTGTCACCACAGGAAATAGCGAGCACACCTGTTGTTTGAAAAATGTGACATGTCTCATTCAGAAGTCCTCTCCCTTCTCTGCTACTGAGCCACATTTATCACTGTGAGAAAGAGATTCTCACTCGCTGATGATTTACAGATGGTGTCTCCATGGACTGCCTGTTGCTGTGTGTGCACGCAGAAGCGCGTGCATGTTTGCATATAAAAAGCATCTCCTGGAGGCTTTTTTTGGTCATTTGAAGCCAAGAGCTGAAAGCAGCAATAGACTATCTGAACAACAAACGTGGGATTATGTTGGATTTTATTCTGGTGTGGGATTTGTTGCACCTATCCACAGCCCTCAAGGAAACCTGCTCAATCAAATTTCATAGATTCTCTGCCTTCCCTGCTCTCCATCTTCAGCGATGGCTGAATGGAGTTGGGTGGTTTACACAGTACTTGAAGTACTGATTGCTGTGGCCTGTTGCCTTGGCAATGTCTTGGTGGTGTGTGCAGTGTGTGTTGGTATCAGGGATTCCCTTCGCGAGCCAACCTTCTGCTTCCTGGTTTCCTTGGCGGTGGCTGACTTCCTAGTGGGTGTGGCTGCTGTGCCCCTGGCTGTAGTATTGGATGGCTGGGTGAGTCTGACCCCTGACCTGTGCCTGCTTCTCAGCTGTGTCGTGCTCGTGCTGACGCAGGCCTCTGTGCTGTCACTGCTGGCTATCGCCGTGGACCGATACCTGCGGTTACACATACCACTCAGGTGAGGTATGCTCTCTGAAACATTGGTTTACAGGTAGAAACGCTATGTGGATAAGGTTCTTGCTTAAAATTATCCTCTCTCTTCCTTGGCTTCTTCGCGTTTTATCCCTCATTCACAGATACAAAGCCCTGGCCACACAGAGGCGCACGTGGTTGGCTGTGTCTGTGTGCTGGATACTGTCCTGTCTACTGGGGTTCACCCCTCTGTTTGGCTGGAACAACTACTCCTCCCTGACATCTGATTCCACCAATACATCTTCCTCTTCCTTCATCTCCACACCATGCACCTTCCTCTCTGTTATTTCCCTGCCCTTCATGGTCTACTTCAACTTCCTGGGATGTGTCATGGCACCCCTGCTGGTCATGACGCTCCTCTATGTTCGAATCTTCTGGAACCTGCAGGGCCGTCTAAAGGAGAGCTGTCCCCAAGCCCAGGCCTCTCTGCTCAGGGAGAGGAGGCTGGCCTGCTCTCTGGCTCTGGTTCTCATTTTGTTTGCCAGCTGCTGGATTCCTCTGCACCTGATGAACTGTCTGCTGCTGTCTCACGGCCCTCAAGCTGTGACACGGGGGACACTCTATACAGGCAGGTGACAGAAACTTTACTAGACTGTAGCTAATCACTTTTTTTTTTTTTTCATATTCAGAGAATATGAATGATTTTTTATGCAGGATGTTATCAAAGATCACAATACTTACCAGATCCTATTTTCCAGGTATTCTCCTCTCTCACGCCAACTCAGCCATCAACCCTGTGGTCTACGCCTACCGCATTCCAAAGATCCAGCAGGCCTACAGTCAAATATGGAGACGATTTCTGTTGAGGCTAAACTGTTGCCATGGGGACAAGCACGTTGAGCGATCAATAACAAGCAACCGAGCCACTCACACAGAGACGCGCGGATCAGGAGGGAAGACCACACCCTAACAAAGCGGTACCACGGTGTTATTTTAAATGAAGGATGTCTGAGGTTTGAGTTCATGGGACACTCACGCACGAAAATGTGACTATCACTGTGTCCAACAACCACTTAAGGCTTTTATCACAGAAAACCATGTATGCAGGCAGCTTGTGATTGTTTGAATTTGTAAAATCCCCACTCGCAGCGTTTGGTTTGAATGAAACCCTCCAGAACTCCAGGCCGTCGTGGCATTCGGTTGCCAACCTGTGATCTGCAAACTTTAATCTTACTCAAAGCGATCTCCTGTGTCTCCACTAGAGGGTGCTCGATACCAACAAACTCAACAGCTGCTCTTGTACACAAACCATGGCACCATCAAAGAAGGCAGTACATGACGAACAGACAATTTCAAGACCTCATTCACTGATTTTTCGACAACTGATTTGAGGCAAGTAGAACTTTATTGAGATGTACATTTATTAAAGCAAGTCATGTGACAGGTGAAATCAGTTCAACACCAATCCTTTTGCAGCACATATGTACCTGATCCTTTTTTTTATGATGTCGGAGAATAAATGTGATTTTCAGCCTTGGGAGTGTGTTCAATATTGATGAGTGTTCAGGGAGCTCCTCAGGGAAGGCAATAGACTGTATAGTTATCACCTGAGCAGGGTGCAATCCCACCCACCAAACTATACAACCTACTACCTCACCCTGACAGAGCCCAAATCAAGCACACCAACCACAAGTTCACCTGTTAGGGAGCATGACACCTAATTTTTCCGCTCTAGCAAACATAACAAAACATAACAAACAATGCCTGTCACAATGCATTATTTTCATTTGCTGCAAGCATATGTTTTGATTGGACAGCATGTTTGCCCATCTGGAGATGACAGTCGGCGAGTGGCTGACTCAGCTGTCTCCTTGGGAAAGACAGTAGATTGTATAGTTATCTCAAAAAGAGGTTACAGAACCCCACAACTATTCAATCTACTACCTCAGCCCCAAGGACAGCATCCATGTTGCTTCAGCAGAAAAGATCCTCAAAGGTAAAACTCCTGCAATGGCACAAAGAAAAAGAGACAGAGAGGGTTATCTTAATTAACTAGTCTTTTCTGTAAAATACATGCAAGATAAAGCTGGATAGGAGTGTCGCTTTAGAAGTGTATATTTACGTAACATTTTGGACTGTTGTGTTCAAATTCAATCCCCGCAGAAAGGAGTGTAATCATATTTTCAGTTTTATCTCTGTGTCTGATTCTTTGTTTTCGTTTAAATCGCTTCCTGGAAATGATTCAAAATCATGACTTATGGCAAAACCTGCTCGTGCTTCATGACAACAAGTCTTCACCTGCCAAGATTTGGAGAAACATTTACCACCTCTTCACAAAAGAAGACCCACGGAAATTTTGCATATTGGCACATCCTCGCCGATCGACCAAGCTTTTGTTGTTGTTTCAGAGCTGAATGTCTTTAGGAAATCCATTCCATTAAAGTGGAGCAAAGACAAATAATTTAACGGTAAGCAGACATCGGAAAGTGAGAGTACTAATGTGTGAAAGCCCACCAAACAACTCACTGACTTCCTTAGACTCTGGCATGTGATCGAAAGAGAGAGAGAAAAAAAAGAACTGCTCGACTCTGTGCCAGGAATTCGTTTCCGTTTTTGCCAAAAACTGAGCTCATTCCAGTGGGCTATCCCTGTGTAGGCTGGCTGCTGCTTGTCAGACGGAGGTACACACACAGATGCCTGCAAATATGGCTTCCACCAGCTGCCTCTGATTGAATACAAGGCTGGGATTCTGCCCCCCAAAACACAACAAGGAAACACAAAATGGCGTCTCGCACATCGGCCATTTTAGGTCTGCTTAAAAACACTATAAGGTCTACCTTTCAGGTTTTTCCCTGAGCCTGCTGTCTCATGATGAAGAAGGAGCCGCTGTTCTATCGAGTGTGATGAGGAATCAATCTTGTGCCAAGCACTGAGACGAAGCCAACAGACCCAGACGACACACTCTGTCACGGGCACTGAGTGAGAGAGCAACTAAAACATTTCTTATCAGACAGCTGGAAAGTTCACACAGAAAAAGCATCTTCACATACAGCATGTCCGTGTCTCCGTGATTTTCCTTGTACCGTTAATTTCATCATGAAAGATGTTGCTTATCCTCCAGCCACTGTACTCTTGTGGGATAAAGGTTGGGACGGGCTTGCAGGTTAACGCGGCAGCGACTGAAGGGTTAATGAGTGCCAGACTAAATGCCAGACCTAGGCCTCAGATAGACAGAGAAAAGGGTTAGGAGGTACACTGGTTGCATAAATTAGCATACAGCCACAACCCCTGAGACTTGGTCCAGACCAGCCCATAGTTAGCATGCAGTAGACCCTACTAGCCTGATTACAGAAGACCAGACAGACAGAAGGGGGTGGGGGTGCGTTGGCATGATGCCCAACTCTGCCACCATGCCAGTGACAGATCTACGAGCTCTGTTTGGTCGCCAAGAAACATCCCCTGACTGGAGCTGTATTTGGAGGACGAGGGCAACAGACTAATAATGATATAACACAGTGCACTGGGGGAAATGGGTCAAAGTAATGAAGATTTAACAGGACATGTGAGCATGGCCTCGAATGAAGAAAAAAGATATAAACACGAATTGTGCAGAATTCTGTGCTTCTGGGTTAATTGCAAAAATTGCTGTCCCATTCCCTGCACAACTCCCGACTGTTTTGGAAACACTGAAACCAGACTCAGTCATGTGAGCTCCACTGGGCGCTGTTGTCTGTGATCATGGACTTTGTCTATGGCACATAAAAGGGGCACACATGGCTCTGCTGGGGCAAATCATTTTCTCTGTCAACAGCTCCAAAATAAATGCGCCTCAAGCCTGTGGGGCAGCTGAGAGGATCTTGAGGAAAATACAAGAAAAGGCAGAAATGTGGCCTATTGAGTTAATCTCATCTGCCTATCAGACAGTCTGTCTGTGCATCTGTCACAGCAGAATTATGGCTAAATGGTAGTAAATTCACATTAGCACTATTCTATGTAAGCCAAGAAACGTGGACCTTGTCCTCTCTTGTCCTCTGATAACACCGCTTTGCTGTGACCAACCAGGATATGTTTTTCTGGAGACAATTTCCTGCTTGAGTATGTTAATCTTTCTCTGGGTGACAGTTACAGTTAGCTTCTTCTGGGTTTTCCAAAACGTCTTCTCAGCTATGAGCACAGGCGATCTTATCTTTTTCAATAAGTTTCAAGCAGATGTTTTGCACTTAACTTCAACATCAAATACTTGTTTTAAATAAATTCATTTTGTGCCACTGCCACAACTATAAAAAAAAAGGAAACACTTACAAAATAATGACGACAAGCCGTCAAACTATTCACCAACTCCACAACACAATTATAGAATAAGTTGAGAGAATAATATCAAAATGGCAGCTAAACTGAATTACCAGTGTTTATTATACAAGTTTTACAAACTTCCGACATCAACATAAACCTGCTGTGCTTTCAAAATACACAAAAAGAATGCATAAATAACAAGCCATGCGAAAATTAATTTGAAAAATATCGTGGAAACAATAGGCCTTAGCTTCCTCTCACACTGTGAAAGGATGCAGGATTCATTGGATTTGCTCCTCACCCAATACGCAAACGACGTAAACACACAAATTAATTAGCAAATCCCCAAACACACACAGCACACTCAGATGCCAACAAAACTCCTCAGAATTGGAGCAGATTTTCGCAGGAAGCAGAGGCAGGGAAATACCTATTGGATTGCCTGGTCCCTTGGTCCGCGAGACGGGATGAATGCTTGGCACAGACACAACGGAGGGGGCACCAGACGATTGGTACAGGTTCTTGTGTGTTTCTCTCTCTCTCTCTCTCTCTCTCTCTCTCTTTCTCTCTCTCTCTCTCTCTCTCTCTCTCTCTCTGAGCTTTGTGCCAAGAATGGCCAGTGTCTGTGTGCCAGGCAGAATTTCAATGAGGGAGGAAGGAGGTGGTGATGGTGGGCAAAGAGGAGGAGCGGTGGGCGAGCTGGAGTTGGCAAGAGGAAGTATGCCACACAATAAATGGCAGGATGAAGAATTCCCACAGTCAAAAAGATACAAACAGATGTCTCCTCTTACTCGTGTCCAGTCTTACTCCACAGAAAAATTGTGTCCGGGCATCTGGCAAACACAAGAAAGAGAGCTGATCCTCAATAGATCGCTATGGTTTTGTTTAATGGTACCAGCTTTTTCACCTTCCCCGCTCCCTAAGGAATGCCTGATTTCCTACATTAAAGGACGAAGGACAGGAGCAGAGAGCCTTCTCCGTGCCCACTTGGCATGTTGCCCGCTCTGATGTTCTGTATATCCTCATTAACCAAACGCAAGCACACAGCACTCATGCTCACATGTACTGTACTGAACTGAAATACGCTGCCATATGCATGTACTTACATACAACCACACGCTGGTAGACACAACACACGCACACACACACACACACACACACACATACACACACACACACACACACACACGCACACACAACAGTTGCTTGAACTGTGAACACAAAAGAAGCTCAGCCTATCTTATCCTGATTTACTAAATGGTAATTAAATGAAAATACTTCCAGTCCTTTTGCCATCAGCTTCTCCCTTTTGTGAGATAGAGGGCTGCACACACAAATGCTGGACTCACAGGCCTAAGAGCTAGGTAAACATGCAATGTGTCTGATGAAACGATAGTATGACCCAGATAAGGCTGGAGTATAAGGGAGCCATTGTATTGACTATCACAGTGTCCAGCAATCATTTCACCCATAGATACCCACACAGAGAAGAATGGAGCAAAGTTGAATAATCAGTATATTTAGCAATATATATATAGCATTTCTTAGGTTAGTTTGTTGTAAAATAAAAAGTGTATTTTTATGCACATGAACTGGTTTCAACTCATTCAAGAGAATGAGTTATTATATGATAAAGAAAAAAAAGTGAGCAATCATTGACCATCAATGGTGAGTTAGTTATACCCTCCAACTACACAGATGGCCAGTGACCTGAATGAAGAAAATATACATCAAAGGTTTCTTTCCTCCTCTTCATCTACTCTCTCTATCCCCTCTCCTCTTTTTTACTTGTCTATGCTTTTGCTAATGTGCTGATGAGATGTGTGGTTACCATGGTTTCAGATGTTTCTTATAGCTCTGATGCCTGGCCTGGCATGTTGCTACACGCCCACATATTATAGCATTCACTAATGTCACACAGTGCAGGCCATACATGCACACAACACACTAGACACAAAAACTTGGAAAGGTATGCCCTTTCAAAGAGGGTGTGCGTGCATATTTGTGTGCATGTATACAGAGAGTATGCGTGCAAGAGTGCAAAGTGGTGTATGTCGGGTCGAAACAGCTGCAGCTTCCTGCATGAGAAAAGAAACTTCCTGTTGCCTCGCTGCAAAACGCAGCCGGTCAGCCAAGATATCAACCAATCAGCTATGTTGAGGCTGAATGCAGGAAGTTAGCCTGACTGCCTCTAGGAGAAAAACTCAGAAACATTATGAGGCAACACGATAAGTTCATCTGAGGATAAGAGAGGGGCGGGGAAAGAGCTCTCCCACTCCTGCCTCTCTTTCTGTCTCTGTAACCCTTGTTCTCTCTATTTTTCTCCAGCTTCTTCTTTCTCAACATTTTCCTCTCATCACTGTCACATGTCGATATGCTTAAAAAGAGGTTCTCCTCGTTCTTTTTTATGAGACAATTTGTCGCTTTACGCCAAAGCTGAGTGATTTGAAGTGACAGAGGCTGATGCAGACGAATTGGGAGTAGTTTACCCATGAATTGTGAGGGGTATGTTGAAAGGGTCTGCCCATATTCACTGTTTCTTAAACACGTGGCACGAAGGCGCCATCTTACCACCAACCCCTATTTAGATTAAGATACAGTACTGACAATAAGCAGTCCAGTTAGATTCCTAATAGTACAGGCAATATGCAGATATTTCATAAAATTCAATCTCCCCTCTAAAAGTACGTTGACTAATCGAATCGGTTGCGGGTTAATTTCCATATTCTGTTTAATTCGGAAAGCACAACATTGATATTTTGCTTTTGTTTTATGGCATTCTGGCCTCTGACATGCGTCTGTAATCAAAATAAGCAGTGTAATATGAATAACAAGCTTTTTTTTCTTGCAGCTGACTAAGATACACATCAATCAGATAAATGCTACTGTTTACGTTTGTATTTTTTTCTTTTTTTCAACAGCAGGTCAGACTAGTGATAAAAAAATCTACAGCATTACTGATAAAATGTGAAAGAATGACTGAGGAACAACAACATTAAACTGCAATTTTTCTTTACAGCGTTGTCTGTTTGTTTGACCTAACTCAGTTTCATTTCTGCCTGTGTGTCCTCCTGAAGTGTTAAGTATCATATACAGGGGCCGATGACGCAGTGTGTCAAGACAAACCACCTTTAAACAAACTGTCACACCTCTGGATCTCAGAAAGATAAATCTAACGTATAAACACACCTGCTCCTGTGAAGCAACTATCTTAGTTTTCACGTAGTCAGAAAGTGCAAACAGTGTGTGAAGCGAATGAGAAACAAAGTAAATATTGCCCTCGTATTACCTATCATAACGGCTCTGGATGATAAGAGACCTGCCAAGCGCCTCACTTGCCCTGTGGGTGCAGCTTTTCAACACTGGTCAGCAGCTAAACTTATACTGACCTGAAGACAACAACAGCTCTCTGGCTCGGTCGACACTCTGAGGTCAGAAAGTAACCAAGAAGGCCTGTCCTTCCTCCTGCCAGTCTACAAAGAGACACCTGTTCAGTACGGAAAGCCACAGAAAGACTGTTTACCACCCTGTCAGAGCCTGCTGTCCAAGAGCAGAGAGGGGAGAGGAAGAGGAGGACAGGGAAAGACAGACAGACACGAGGGAAGGAGGGGAAAGAAGATGGTCAGCAGGGAGTCAAGGAGTCCCTCTAAGCTCTAGAAAAGTTTCTCCTGTTATGTCCATCGAGCCAAAATGGCGGCGAGCGGAGTGCGGCGTGGCAACCGACGACGATAGACACGTTTACAGGAGGAAGACCATGATGAAGGACAGAGAGGAGGGCGAGAGGGACTGGAGGAGAAAGATTATAGGGCAGTGGAAAAGACGGGAAGAGGTGTCGCAGGATAAAAAAGAAAAATACCTGGAGCCTGTATGTGAGCGGCGGGCTGGGCCGGAGGACTGGAGGAGAAGAGGGCCGTGATGGCGGGAAGAAGGGAAAAGAGAGGAGTAGAGCACACCCTCTGAGAGCTACACCCCCTTCCCACAATCCCCTCCTACTGGCGTGAGTGCGTCTGTCCGTACACAGGGTGACAGAGGGACGTCTGCTCACACACAGCTCTATAACACACATACACACACTCACGCACACAGAAAACACACACAAGCCACACTATCAACCACACTGTGCACAAGAAAAAAGAGAACAGCTCCAAAACAGACTCGCGACAGACTCACAGTACGTGCAGTTGCGTATGATCAAAACGGAGACACGCGAACACACAGTCACAGGACAGTTCAAAACACAAACACACACATAATCAATTCGCCAGCCTTTGTATCGCCCTCTGCTCTGCCCTGTGCTGTGTTTGCCTCGGTCCGCCTGCCCACTTTGGCACTGCTGCCAAGAGGGAAGGAGAGAAAAAGGAGGGGAGGAGGGGGGACGTAGAGACACAGAAAGAGGAAGGGAGGGACATGCTGTAGCGAGAGAGGGGGAACAGAAAGAGGAGGAGTCAGAGAAAAAGAGTTAAGAAAGACAGTGAGACACAGAAAGACAAGAAAAAGAAAGAGAAGAAGCGTAAACTGTCATGAGCCGAAGCGCTGACACAAAACAGTGGGACAGCAGCTGGGAGCACTGAGTATTTGTATGTATCTAAATTCATAACTACACCTTTCGCCTTGTACCGAACATACTATCTTGCAGCCACAGACAGATGGCGAGAGAGACAAGCAGATCCTGACACTTCTGCCATATTGTTCCATTTGACAACATTTTTTACAATCAATAAATCCAAAAAGCCCAAAGTCGCTTGAGATTCAAACTCTAAACTGTTGGACATTTGTTGTCAAGTTCTCTCGCCCGAAAGAGGAGTCCTGGGAGACTTACTGTCTTCTTCGACATCTTTATTCTGCCTGCTTTCCTCCGCGTCTCCCTCCATCCTTCCCTCAATTCGTCCTCTCCCTCCATCGGGGATAATATCAGCCCTCCTCAGTGGGAGGGGTTTGAGGGAGTTAAGCTAAATGAATCAATGAGCGAGGAGGGTGGATATTTCAGAGAATGTCACTTTTTTTTTCTTTTTCTTTTTTTTTATCCGTTGGCATTTTTCCCAGGTCTCCCTTTGATTTCTCACACCAGCAAGAGAGCTGAACACCAATGCAGATTTTGGATCAGCGAGCTGTTGCCTCTAGGTGACCTCAATCATTAGGAGAGAAAACATAAATCCATCTGTTCATAAATGGCCGACATTCTCTATAGCCTCCTTGCGGACCAGTCACTGGCATTTGAGCGGGTATCCCAAGCAGAGCCAACCAATCAGAGCACACTTCTGAGCTGACGTCTTTTTGAAAATGTTGAGTGTAGTTCTAAAAAACAAATACTTTTCACCATTAATATACAAACAAATACTGTTTCTCTTTTACAGCTCACATCAATTACTTGAAGACAAAAAAAGCAAACCTTGTTCTGTCTTTGGCAAGTGAAATTGTGAATTCTTCATTGTAGCTGCTGTAATACCTGAGTTACTGAGTCCTCAAACTGACCAAACACACAGACACACGCAGACACACAGGCACACACACATTGGGAGGGTGCTGCCAGTCCTCAAACACTCACCACAGAGACAAAACAGACCACAATAGTCCAGCTTCGCTGCTGAAACTCCGCATGAGCCTTTTCTCGAAGATAGGACAATGAACACACACACACATACACACCCACACACACACATTCATACTGTACACAGGCGCGCACACACACACACACACACACACACACAAACACACACACACAGACACACATGTGGTGCGAACAATCCGGTTCTTCCATGGAGGCTCAGATTCAGCCAGCAGGTTGGACAGCCCCTCAACCTGACGTCACGTCTCCTTTGTTGTTTATGAATTTATTTCTCTCCTCAGCTGAACTCTCTGAACCCAAAGTCCCCCACCCTCTCCTCTCCTCCCCTCCCGTCCTGTCCTCCAGCCCTACACTTACCCCCTGCCAACGAAGGCGGGCAAATACAGTATGGCTTTAACAAGGAATAAGAAAAGAAAGAGAGACAGGCAGACACAGAGAGGAGAGACAGGGAGAGGGAGAGAAAAGAGCTCAGATGTCTATCTCACTTTTTCTTTTCCTCCTTTTCTTCTTCGATCGTTCCCTGTGTCTCTTCCTGCTTGGCTTGTAAAAGTTTCAGCTGCATGGCGGGGCCGGCCTCTTTTGGCAGCCGTCCAACTCTTGACTCTCCTGTCCCCTTGCAAGAGAGAGAGAGAGAAGGAGGGGAGGACAAATATAGTCACAGCTAGACTGTACTGTACAGTTGTGGAGGCAGATGTACTCTGAATGCACAGCGACCATTTTTATTTCACACTAGCCCACGCAGGAAGAGAGCAGTTTGTTGCATTCCTTCAGTATTTAAAATGAGTTTTCAATGAAGCAACACGCAGTGGATAATGTGTAAAATACAAGCTAATCATTGCCCGGGACATCATGCAGAGTTTCAAAAGGCTGTGCCACAGTTGTGTTGTTGGTCTGCCTTTAACTGAGTGTGACAGCTGGATCTGATAACACTATGTTTTACTGCTCACACCCAGTTCACACAGGGACACACCAACTTTTTCATTTCTCCTGGTACCAATAACATGAGCAGCTCAGTTATTTACACATGCACATGTGAACATTTAATTGTTACTGATTTACACACAGTTGCTGAGAGCCATTTACTGAGAAACAGTATCCTACTCATAACTATGCTCTGTAAATTAGACTAATTACAGGACTAATTACAGCATTAACTTCTACGTTAATCCAATTAGGCTTTATGTCATAGTGACTTCTTACTTATCCATGAAGTAACTTGAAACAGCAAGTATCTCCATTTTTTGAAGCTTCATAAAGCTATTCTGCCATAATTGTTTAAGGGAATCAGACAATATGGGGATATACATAATATATCTTCAATCCAATATATCTTATAAAGCTAAAATACTGTAGAGGCATTGCTCAGACATTGTGTGCCTTTTCAGTAGTTCAGTAATGACATAAGTGTTATTCATAATGTTCAATAATGCTGTCTTGCCTGCAATAAAATTCAGCTTAGGTCTTGTGTGAAACATTTAATGAAAAAGAAAATGAAATGTATTTACTTAATTATTTCAGCAGTGGGTCAAGTAATGCAGATATCACTAATTTTCTACTGTCTCTCAGCACAAGAAGAGCTCACTGATTATATTTTTGCGCATGTATGTGATTTAATTAAAGCGATATGACCTGTTCGCTTAACGATTTGACAGTCCTGACACTTACAAATATCTTCTATAAATGATATTGTAGCTAATGCTACTAGCTAAAAACTACTAGCTTGCCCCACTTGGAAGAATTTTACCGGATGTTTACCAACGTGTAAAAAGTTTTTTTAAAGATTAAAATGCAAAACTCTAAAGTAAACCAACTAATTAAGCAAAATAAACATTTCCAATCCTTTTATTGGAGGTAAAGCGTCTCCTCACCTGGCTAGGACGTTTTGGCACTGGACAAAAAGTGATTCCTACACTATCTGCGCACGTCATTGTGCAGAAATGTCTATATTATTTGTTGGTAGGTTGTCGCATTAGCTGTTTCACTGGTAGATAAATGCAATGTTTGTATTGCTTTGACTGGCTTATGAATAGAAAACAGCAAAGTCTAAGTTGAAATGGTTCACCCATGTGGCTGGGTCATGGCCTGCCTCAAAATTCAATTCAATATTTAAAGCTTTGCAGATGTTAAACCTGGACCAATCAATTAGTTTACTGTGAAAGTTGCTAACATGTCTGGCTTCCAAAGCACTTTTTTTTTGGCTTGTAGACCTACATGTTTGGGACATATAGGGGTACCACTTTCTGATAAGTCACCATTTATAAAGGGTTTATAAGTTCATATCAATGGCTCATTAAAGGTTAATAAATTATTACATTATAGGTCAGTTATGAGCTAGGAACAACTTATGGGTTGTGGTTGTGGGTATGTAAATTATAGCCTAAATGTTGTGGGTTGTGGGTTTCTCAACTTGTCAATAGCAACAGTCACCTGCAATTTTAAATGTCAATAAATCATAAATAAAAGTTTCTAATATACATCAAGTCTGCAGTCATGCTGGAAGAGGACTTTCCACAACCTGGCAACTGAAAAGTTGTTTTTATTAATGGCTTCTAACCGATCTAAATTGCATTTGTAAATTATGTATTTACCATTTATTAACCCTCTCATGGTGCCTGGTGGATTAAAGATGTGATGCAGTTTAACAATGTAATAGATCATTCGTAGTTTATTGTTATTACACTGTTACTGGCTCTGGTTAAACTACTATCCGGGACAGTTTTCACTGTAGAAAGATGAGGCGCCCCATCTAGTGGCCAATTTATATAAGTGCAGTTTGTGAGACAGAAAAGTCCCACTTTTCTACACTGTTGTTTTATTTCATACAATTTTCTTTGAAGAGGGTGAATCACTTTTACATTACAAAACTGTATGGTTTAACTCTATTTCACACTGAAAAGGATCACACATTCTCTCTGTATAAATTATTCTCAGTTCCATTGAATTTATCTTACTGGTACCACTTTCTGATAATGCAACATTTATAAAGAGTTTCTAAACTGTAATTGGCTTTATTATTTTCTTAATAAATAATTTACTAATTCTTTATAGATCAGTTACAAGCCATTAATAAGAACAACTTTTGGGTTGCCAGGTTGTGAAAAAAAAGTACTCCAGCATGACACTAATCATTTACAGATACCCCTCCAATGGACTGTTTAAACACTTACCTTCTGGAAAAGGGCTGCAGGATATCTGGACCAAACTCCATTTATGAACTACTTAATAACATTAACAGCTGCAGGCTTGATTGGACTGATGATGGTACCATTTTATTTTATTTTAAACATGATCCATTAAACAGACAAGAAGAGAGAAAACAGTTGTCCATGCAGTAGGTAAATACTACTAGACAAGCCAAGTAAAGATTGTAAGGTTTTGGACAATCAAGACTCCATAGTATTATATCAATAATACTAAATGATCAAATTGTCAAACATTAAGTAAACCCACTGGCCTGCAATATCTGCAATATAAAGTCAGGCAAAAGATGAACACCATAGAAGTTGGAAAGAAAAAGAGTAATGAAGAAGGAAGGGAGCTCTGGAATGATCATTCAATTTCTTCTTCTTTTTTCCAGTATGAAGAGCAGCCTCACCTCTCTGGAGACTTAAAGTAATAAGCCTGAAGAGTTTGCCCTCCAGCCAGTCTCTGAGTGAGTGAGACAGAGTTGGAATTTGAGGGATAAGAAAGATAGATTGAAGCTTAATCCCCATTTATCTTACTTGAATACAGCATTGATAAATCCATGCCAATGTCAAGATGCATTGTTGCCATTATTATTTCTCCTTATTCACTTTTTAGTGCCTCTAAAAGGTGGGACCTGATCTCCACTGATGCCACAGACCTCACTGGAGAAGGGAAAGAACCTTGTATAGGCAGGTTGAGATATAGACGTGTTTGTACATGTCAAAAAGAAACCGGGGAAATCCAACTAATCTGTCTTCTACTGTTTACAGTATATATTTCACTCTCAGGGACTTTGTCAATCACTACTCAGTCAACAAATAAGTCACCATATATTATCTTGATTAGTTTTTTTTGTTCCAAATATATGGATTGTTTTTATACATATGCATTTATACTTATTCATTTGGCAGACATTCTTATCACACTAATCAAACTAAAGCTTAAGTGCAGTAGGAGACCTTGGTGTAAATACAAAGTCCTACATCTATTCAATCAGTGCAATTAGATCAGGCAAAGATGTGCACAGAAAGTGCATAGTAGGTGCTAGTTAGGGCACCCCTGTGAAGTGGGGATGGGATGAGGAGAGCGTTTCAGTAGAGTGACCGCTCTTTAAGTCTGACTGATTTGGATCGAGGAGGCTTCTCCGTGAGAGGATTTCTGAGACCTGCTTGAAAACCACCCTTTCTATACACTTTGATAAGAATGGAACTACTGAGACTGGTTGGTAGTTCTCTGCTTGACTAGGGTCAAGTGAGGGCTTTTTGAGCAGAGGAGTTAGCTTGTTTGATTGCAGTTGGAAATGTTCCTGAAGCCACTGAAGCATTTATCACATGTGAAATTACTGGCACAATGAAGGGAGATATGGCTTGGAGGGGGTTTGTGGGAAT